CCCCAAAACCCCAAAACCCCAAAACCCCAAAACCCCAAAACCCCAAAACCCCATTTCAGAATAAATATGCTGAATATTCGATGAAATAGTTATTAGATCTAACCCCTCCTTGATATTCTGCTTCTTGAATAGAGTCTCACCCTCCGCTCAGGGTTGATGTACATCTTCCCATGAATTCGTGGTGTCTTAGAATACTTAGCTGCATTCCCACGGGATTGAGATTTAAGACTACCTTTTCTTCTGTTAAACGCCCTTGAAGTCTTGAGTGATCATACTTTCTGAGTTATAGTAATCTTTGCCTACAGATCTTATAACTCAAATACCTTTTTCTCTCTCTTTTTTCGATCTGGATCTTCGTAATCTGTCGAGCTTCAGTCGCTCAGGACTGCAGGATTTTTGGCTAATTTCAGCTGCTTGATATGCTTCATTTGCTTAATGACATCCAACTTGGCTTGAAGAATTTTATTTCTGCTTCTTATTTGTGACTGACCACCTCCATGTTAACGTTTGTACTACAAAGTACGCCTGGGAAATCTTTAGCACTCTTTGTGACTATATTAGATTCCCTCTGAAATGCTCTAAGATACTTACTATGGTCGTCCCTGAGGTTCATTTCTGGCTGAGACCTTCTAATAATATGAGGCCTCTCTTTTGAACTGGGCCTGAACTGGAATCTGTACAATAAGATCTGTACTAACTTCTTGCCAAGACTATACTGCTCTCTGAGGTCTTGGATTATCTGCAGATATTTCTTTGCCCTCTGTATTGGCTGGTGATACAATTTGTATGTATTACTAAACTTGTTATAAGAATGTATGCCACTAATAAGTTTCATAGAAATTCAGTTTTGGGTCAGAATGAAGTTTAATTTAGACGGAGTTACTTACACATCCATCTTCCTGTATCTATGGGAGTTGCTCTTGGAAAGCCCTGTATTCCTTCCTTTATATCTGGAATTCTCATAAGGAGTCATTGGCTATAGCATTGGTTACATTAAACGGACCAGTGCACAAAATTCAAAAAATTTCAACCAAAGCATTCCTCTTGTATGAAATTTTTATAGACTCAGCCGGGAAGAATCACAGATTTAGTCTTACATTCTTCTTCCTCTTTATATTTTCAAAGCTACGAGCATCCAATGAATTATTCTTAAGGTAAAAAGCCATTTTATTTCAATTCTTAACTTGAAAAGTGGGGTTTTGGGGTTTTGGGGTTTTGGGGTTTTGGGG